ATTTCACAATGTGGCCACAGCCACATACAGGAGAGACTCACTCAGCTAATTCTCACTTTCATTTCTAGACCCTATTTTTAAAATGCCAACAATTAAATTTCCAAACCACTTATGCAATCTAGCACTACCATGATACTGGCTGGAAAGTATATTTGTGCAGAAACCAGACAAGGTCAGATTTGGGATTCTTGAGTTTGGGACTCATCTTAATTGCAGTACTTCACACGCAGGTTATGTCATGGCTCAGAAGGACCGTAGATTTAAGGAAATCAAGTCTAACACAGAAGACTACATACATGAGAAACCAATACAGAGAAAACTTCAGAATGTAACACTGATTAGAGAAAATATTTTAAAAGGCAAAAGAAGCAAATTTTAAAAATATCATTTATCAATCAATCAAAAAAGGTGATGTACATACTTCCTAGATAGTGATGTGACAATAATTTAACTGATTTAACATCAAGCAAAAGAAATTCCAACTAAGACAGACATGAACAGCAACCAAATGCAAACAGTTATAATTGGCTCCATGTAGAAATATTTCAGTGCTGAAACAGTTTATTTTGGTGATTAAAATTAACACTTATTCTGGAGTTCAAATGGTAAACATTTGAGAATCCTTTCATGAAATTAAAAAAAAGCAATTGCAATTTTTAGCCTTGTAGAAATTGTCTTTTCAATATACTAGGTTACCATTCACAAATTTAAAGAGCATTGCCAGCTTATCACTAAAAATTTTCTGTGATTGTATTCTGGTGGCCATTTGAACCATTTTACAGTAGTTCACCCAAGAGATTATTGTTCTCTGTTATCTACACCAACAGTGCAATAATGATTAACCAGAAATTAGCAATCCTTTACGTGAAGTAATATGGTCACTAAATTTAATGCACAATGGCTCTCATTTTCGACTAATATAGAAAAACTAAGATGCTGGTAATCTGAAATAATACAAAAAAGTGGAAATACTCAGCATATCATTCCATGAAATGTTAACACTTATTTCTCCCTCTCTTCAGATGGTGCCTGACATGCTGAGCGATTCCACCATTTTCTGTTTTAATCTCAATTAGATCAAAGGTCTGATTTTACAGGTTAAAAGAATAAACAATGATTTAAAAGTCCACTGAAACAATAAATAAATGCAAAGACATAGAAGGAACAAATTCCAAAATAAAAGTTAATAGCTAACAGCATAAAATTAAGTAGGACCATGAGTGGCAAGGAGAATGTAAACAGACTTCAAGGGGTTTAAGAGAAATTGAGCATGTGGGCAAATTCACAGCAGTGTAATGTGGATGAGTGTGAAGTTGCCCAATTTAGGTGAAAAAAAAAGAACGGCAGAGTATTATTTAAATTGTGATAGAGAGGGAAAGATTGATGTACAAAAAGGGCCTGGTGTCCTTGTACACCAGAAAACAAGTCTGAAGGTGCAGCAACCAGTTAGGAAGGCAAATGATGTGTTGGCCTTCGTTGTAAGAGGGTTGGGGTATACAAGCAAGGAAGTCTTACTACAGTGGTACTTTTAGTCTCCTTATCCAAGACATAATTGTCAGAGAGGGAGTGCAGCAAAGGTTCCTGGGATAGCATATTTGCCATATAAGGAAAGATTGCGTCGACTAGGCCTGTATTCACTGGAGTTCAAATGAAAGAAAGGGGATTGCATTGAAAAAGTTCTAACAGGGCTAGACAAACCAAATGCAGAGATGATAGTTCTCCTGCGTGGGGAGTCCAAAGCAAAAGGCCATGGACTCTGGATACGCAATACGTCATTTTGGACTGAGATAAGAGATTTGTCAGAGGATACTATCACAGACTTGGCCTAAGGAGGCCAAGTCAATGAATATGTTTAAGAAAGAAAGTGATAGATTATCAGACTCTAAAAGTGTAAAGACCTATGGGGAAAGAACAGGATTATGATAACAAGATAAAGGTTTAGCCATGATAAAGTTCAATAGTGGAGTGGGCTCAATGGGCAAAATGCTCCTATTTTCTAGATTTCTAGTTATGCTCAATAATAAAGATCATTGAACATGACAAAACATTTTTAAATTGGCAGATATGAAGGTTTCTTTTTCATTACAGTTTCTGGAAAAACGTATCGCAACGTAAATTTACCTTTTAAAGAACCCAACGTGAGCTCGGCTTTGAATTAGTCGCTAACATTTCTGAAAAAATTCCTAAACATTAGTTTTAATCCAACACGTTTAGGAGCTCTCTATCAATCTTTTGCTAAGCATGGGACAGGCAACAGCACATACTTCCCAGCAAGCATAAGGGGTGGCTTGTGAAAAAATCCTCAAGCAATGAACACAATTATAGTGAAGGATTACAATTGTTACAAACAACAATCTAAAAATTAGGAAAGAAAAAAACTTTTTTTAAAAAAATCAGAACTCTATCAGAAACATTAATATCATCTCACTCTAGTACATGTTCCAGACAGAGACCTATAAACACAGACTTTTAAACAAGAAATTTGCAGAACGAGACAGTAGCCCTCTCACTGAGATGAGAATCTCCTGTTTCTTACAACTACAGTTTAAATCTGAGAAGCAGATTCAATAAAAATTTCTACATCACAACATACTCACTAGTATTTCTTTGCACTCACCTTTCACCTTTCTTTTTAAAAAAAAAATAAACTGTCAAATGAAATGCACCACGGTTGCTCCCTAGACTCTTCTGTAATCAGAATCAGGCAAATGATCACAATGTTCTAGTACATCCTAATAATTCTCCCTTTTTCAGCATGCAAGTACCTGGCCTCCTCTTGGTACCCTCCAGTGCCAGCAACATTACTGTTTATTACTGACCATGTGATGAATCAGAGCTGCAAAACTACATGCTGCCCTGACACAGTCATGCAACATACAGGTTAAGAATCTGCCATTCAGAAAATTGAATTCTCCAAATGCACCCTGCTAAAGAGTTATTGCCCACACTAAAAACATTTATGAAGTTTTATTATAAAATTAATAAACATTTTAGTTACTGACTTTGCAACTATATACAGGAGTCCAAAGAGATTCCTAACCCTCACAGGCAGGCTGCCTTGCAGTACACTCAATTGGGACATCATAATTTACAACTGGTGCCTAGAAAGGATAAAAACAACATCCCATTTAGCAGTTGCTGCTGAAATCAGTGCCGTTCAGATGAAGGTAAAATCAGATGCACCTCTGATGTTGCAAATGGTGTTATCATTGCCAATACATTGGGCTTGGGCACAAACATAAAATATGTTCTATTTAATGACACAGTGAAGGATTGCCAGAAATTCTACAACAGAAGCAGTTGGTATTTGAGAGGGGAGTGATGTAAAAGAACAGTAGACCACCCTGAAGAAGTATGTATCTTTCAGTGTTAAATAAATAAGCTGGACACAAAGTTCTTTGAATTATTCTCTTCACTGCTCCCAGCAAAGATAAGGTTGGAAAACTAAGATTTAATTGAACAAAAGAAACTTCAGTTGATAGGCAGATTTCAACTCACAAACTTGAGAAATGAATTTAAATGGATGACATTTAATATTTTAGAACTGAAAAATAATGAGAGTCATAAAACGTCAGCAAACATGGGTTTAATGGCAGTATGTTTTCTCCTGCTGCTATTTCTTTGTGATCTCTGTCGTTCAGTGTCAGGGACGACGTGATAACTATTCCTTTGTCACACTCAATGTCAGTGATTTAACTTTATGCCTCAGAACAGCAAAATAACACACTGAGCATGGCAGTCATCCTGGATCCAGTGTAGGCTTGACCAAAGTGACGCAAGTTTTCTCTGTTAATTCACTCATGGGACACGTGTATTGCTGTCTGGGCCAGCATTTATTGCCCATTCTTAGGTGCCTTTCAGAAGGTGCTGGTTAACGGCTTTCTTAAAATACTGCACTCCATATGCTGTAGGCACATGCAAATACAATGCCATTAGGGAAGGAACTCCAGGATTTTGATCCAGTGACACTAAAGGAACGACAATGTTTTTCCAAGTCAAGATGGTGAGTGGCTCGGAGGGAAATTTGCAGGTGGTGGTTTCGCATGTATCTGCTGCCCTTGTACTTCTAGATGTCAGTGGCTGAGAGTTTGGAAAGTGCTATCTCAGGATCTTTGACAAATTTCTACAGTGCATTTTGTGCAAGAATCTTACTTGCCACTTTTCTGCAAAGTCTGGATACTCTCCAAGTCTTGTTGCATTTGGGCATAGGCTGCGTTGTGAAGACAAGAAAGCTCCTGGCCTTTTCCCTCATTGCATTCAGCCCACTGGGATGCCAACAGCTGAACCTCCTAGTTTTGCCTAATACTAGACAAAGTAGGCCAGTCTGGAAAAAAACAGTATCTTGAAATAGCTAAATTAGAAAGTAGTTTCTAAATTTTGTTTTCACTCTTCTTCACCTATTACCAGTGGCTGGGTAGCATTTGAATAACATATCAATAATCCTCACGACATTGCTTAAGCTTCACGAGAAAAGAGACATAGTAAAAATGCACAACCAACACTCAAACACTGGCCAGCAGACAAGTACAGCCATGCTACCATCATCAAATTCACAGATCATAGAATCATAGAATCCCCACAGTGTGGAAACAGGCCCTTCGCCCCAACAAGTCCACACGGAACCTCAGAGCAGCCCACCCAGACCCATCCCCCTATAACCCACCTAATCTACACCTCCCTGAATACTACAGGCAATTTAGCATGGCCAATCAACCTAACCTGCACATCTTTGGACTGCGGGAGAAAACCGGAGCACCCGGAGGAAACCCACGGAGACATGGGGAGGATGTGCAAACTCCACAAAGACAGTCGCCCGAGGCTGGAATTGAACCCGGGTCCCTGGCACTGTGAGGCAGCAGTGCTAACCACTGTGCCACCGTGCCACCCGTATCATCTGCAACAGATTTGGTGATCAATCACGCTTATACCATATAATCTGTATACCGCATCAATGTAACCTACCAGAACAGCAAAAAGGAAATTTCCTCAAGAAAACTTACCAATGGAGTATGAGTGGTCCATCTTGAATTTCGCTTTATAGCACCAACGACACTATTTATTTCACCTTGCACAATATAAATGCTTTTATCGATCATCATGAAGGATCTGCAAACAATGAAATTGAAACTTTATAAGAATTGCCAAGAGAGGATTTCATTCTATCGTGTGTATACATTTATATAAATACACATCAAATTATTTTTGAAGCTGGAAACAGAAGCTTATTCTCAGTCACAGTCAAATTATAAAGATAAGACAAACGAGGATTTCCAATAGAGATGATTGCTATAATCTGATTCAAAATTAATCAATGTTCCCTAATATTAACATAAATACAATGTTAACTGCTTTGTATCCATGTGTTGGATGTGGACTTCAGCACTGCAGAAGATAGACAGTAGAGTTTCATCTCAATTTTATGCCTTCATAGTGGTTTACAAACATGCTCAAGTAATTTGCATAGGTATTCCTGGACTAATCCAAGTGGAAATAATTGCCTATATTCTTTATTACTTAGCGGTCCCCAAAGGAAAGGACATATTTGACATCACTACAAACCAATGTCACTCTTGGGATGTGTTACGGACCAGACCAAACCCCCCTCAAATACATCAGAGAGATAGCCTAGACCCTAACTTTTTCTTATTTAAAGGTAAGCATAAGGTGCTGTGTTCCAGATGTAATTTGATTGGTTACACTGCTCAGCTTTAAGCAAAACATACTTTATTCTTAATCTACAGTTAAAATACAAACAAAAGAAAGAGGATTTCATTTAAGTTTTCCACTCGAGCTAAAGTTAACAGAATACATTATTTAACTACTGAACAGCAACTGTTCCAATAATAGTAACATTCCAAAAGCAAAATTTCTTTTTTAAAATTGAATAATTGCAGATGTTCAAAATCAGAAACAAAAACACAAATTGCTGGAAAATTCAGGAAAATAAATTGTCGTGCACGCAATTCTGGCAGAGAGAACTCCTGCTTTTAGCTGTAACAGAGGAATAACAGCTTTCACAGTCAACTTCAAAAGCCAAACAAAAACCCTGATTTTACTAATTCCAATCCCGATTCCACCCATTCATGCTGCTTCTATTGTTCCAACATTTTAAAACAAAAACCCACGGCCTGACAAGCTGTTTATTTTATTGGCTTGTAACAGACCACTCAGTACCTCCATCTCAACCTCTCAAAAAAAGAACAAAATACATCTCTTAAAACTATAGTATCGTCACATATGCAACAACTGGTGCTTACTGTAGTAAGACTAACTCAAGATCTGGATTTACCAAAACAGTGTAAACATAACTTCACTACAAGTTTCAAAGTTAAAATATCATGTAGATGCAGTATAGGATACAGGAGCAGATCAGGCCATTAACCCCTAGGGTCTGTTTCACCAATCAACCAGGTCATGGTTGACGTCCTACCTCAGCATCGTTTTCAGAGACTACCCCATATCCCTTTGATATCATTAATATCATGAAATTTATAGAATCTGTCTTGAATATACCTAATAACCTTCACAGCTCTCTGGGCAGAGAACTACAAAGAACCTCTATCCTGTGTGAAGAAATTCCACCTCATCTCAATCCTAAATAGTCTCCCACTTATTCTTAGGCTGTCTCCCTGATTTAGCCTCCTCCAGACTAGGGTAACACCCTTCTTGCAACCATATATGCAGGAATATCCATTCTACAGAATTAGTTCTTTGCTGTGTCACTGTTCATTTCAAATTAATCCATTTTAAGTCAAACTCATAAATACTATACCAATTTTACTGAAAACTAAATACTTGAAAAGACATTTAGAGTAACATAAAACTCTTTGGAAAATCCTGTAGGTTTCTAAAAGTCTTTATGCTAATGCCATCTGTCTACAACAGAGTCTTGAAAAATTAATGCATGTTGCTTTGTTTTCCATTATAATATACTCCAAGATCACAGGCCAAATTAATCATTTTTAATTAATCAATGGGAATCAGCAATTGGTTGCAGCAGTTATGATTATTTATAGATGCCAAGCTTGAACAAAGAACATAAAGTAAATGCTAAATAAAAACCGAAAAAACTGCAAATGCTGTAAATCAGAAACAAAAACAAAGTCGCTGGAAAAACTCAGCAGGTCTGGCAGCATCTGTGAAGGAAAAAACAGGGTTAACGTTTCAGGTCTGGTGACCCTTCTTCTGAACTCTTAGCTAAACAAATAGCAAATGGTTCCAAAGTTATCGAATTAACACCAACCAATTTTTTCTTGACTAAATATAGTGATGAGGGTCATACAGTTGATGTGGTTTACATAAACTTCAGTAAGGCTTTGACAAGGTCCCTCATGGAAGGCTGGTCCAAAAGGTAGCAGCCCATGGGATCCAAGGTAACTTGCTAAACTGACTCTAAAATTGGCTTGCAAATAGGAGGCGAAGGGTGATGATGGAGTTGTTTGTGTGATTGGAAGCCTGTGACCAGTGGTGGACCACAGAGATCTGTACTGGGATTATTGCTGTTTGTTATATACGTTAACAACTTGAATGCGAATGCAAAAGGTATGATTCGTAAGTTTGCAGATGACACGCAAATCGGTGAAGTTGTTATAGTGAGGAAGATGGTCGTGAACTATAGTCTGATATTGATCAGCTGGTAAATTGGGCAGAGCAATGGCAGATGGAAAATAATCCTGAGAGGTGCGAGGTCATGCATTTTGGGAGATATAACAAGGGAAGATATACACACTGAATGGCAGGTCATTAGTGAGCACTGAGGTACAAAGGGACCTTGGTGTACAAATCCATAGAACCCTGAAGCTAACACTCAGATAAACAGGGTGGTGAAGGTGGCAGACGGGATGCTTGCCTTCAAAAGCTGGAGCACAGAACTTAACAGCAAGGAAGTCCTGTTAAAACTTTACAAAACAGTGGTTAGGCCACATTTGGAATACTGCGTGTAGTTCTGGTCGCTGCACTATCGGAAGGATGTTTTTGCACTGGAGAGGATGCAGAGTAGATTCATCAGCATATCTCAGTTATGAGGACAGACTGGATAAACTGGGTTTGTTCTCCCTGCAACATAGGAAGCTGATGGGGAATCTGATTGAAGTATACAGACTTATGGAGAGGCATTGACGGGGTAGATCATGAGAATGTTTTCTCCAATGGTAGACATGTTTAAGACCAGAGGGCACAGATGAGGTAAGGAGTAAGTGCTTTAGAGGAAATCAGTAAAAATATTTTCTCCCAGAGGGGTGCTGGAATGAACAACCTGAGGGGGCAGTGGAGGCAGGTACTCTCACAACATTTGAGAAGCATCTTAAAATGCCAGGGCAGAGGAGTCTATGGACCAAGTGCAGGTAAACACAATTAGTCTAGTGTTTGCTAATCAGCATAGACATGGTGGGCTGAAGGGCCTGTTTCTACGCTGTATGAGTCTATGTTTAATCACCAACTCTACCCAACTTCCGAAAACTGTAGTCAATTGCACTGTCATCACTTCACAGCCAGCATGTTTTGCAACAGCCCAAAGATTTCAGCAATCCAATCTGATATGAGTAGGCTATGCAACCCTTCAAGCCTAATCCATTCAACAAAATATTGCTTCATGGTCTACTTCAGCTCCATATTTCCACACTATTCTCAGATCCCTTAATCTCCAAAGTTCTACCTGTCTTGAATATATTCAATGACCCTTTAGGGAGATTTCAAAAGATATACAATCTTTTAAGTGAACAAGTTTCTCTTCTACTTATTCTTAAATGGCTAAGTCTTATTCTGAGAGTGTGGTCCCTGGTTCAGGGCTCTACAAACAAGGGAAATATCCTCCCAGCAAGCCCCTTAAGAATTTTGTGTTTCAATGAGATCATCTCTTATGCTTCTAAAATCCAGGGAATATAATCCCTTTTTAACCAATCTCTCAGATGATTCCTTCATACCAAGAATCAACCAAATAAACTGATGCTGCATTCCCTTAAAGGTGAGTACATCCTTCCTCTTAGGCAAAGAGATTAAAACTGTACAGACTACTCCAGGTTTGGTTTCTCCTACAAAATTATAGTAAGGTTATTTCATTCTTAAACCTTAAACCCTTTATGATAAAAGCTAATATATTATTTATGTCCTCATTTCTGCTGTACTTGCATTGTTCATTCTTTATTTCAAGAAAAATACACTCAGGACCCTCTGACAACCAAGAGTTACATCTTCATAAATGAGATTTGTCAAATCCCATTTCCCTTTCAAAAACTCAGGTTGACTCTGGATAATAATATCATGATTCTCCAAGTGTCCTGTTACCATTGCTACTATTCCTTTAATATTAATACCAGGTGCACTGACCGATAGTGAAGAAACAACAGCCTACCTCCATTATCACATGACAGTTATATTAGCAACTTTCTACTCTATGGACATATCTTAAAATTGAGAGAATTCTGGAAAATCAAAACAAGCGTATCCACAATCTCTGTAACTGTCTAGAATTAAAATCATAGGATACAGGCCATAAGGTCAAGGGGATCTGTCATTTTCAAGTCCCTATAATTTCGCCAACACTATCTTTGCAAATAATATCCCTGAACTGCTTCTTTCCACTGGATCATTGGCTCTCCATGATATCTGGAATGTTTTCAATGTCTTCCACCATGCAGACAAATACAGTGTTTGTTTAATGACCCTATTTCCATTTTCCACTTTATAATTTCTCCTGTCTTAGCCTCCAAGGTATTAATGCTTACTCTCACTCATTTCTTTTTAACATTTCAAAATCTCAGAGTTTCAACTTTCAAAGTCTGCCTTTAGCTTACTCATGCTTATTTGCTCTCTATCAATTTCTTGGCCAGTCTATATCGCAGCTAAAATCCTCCAAATCTGCAGCCTTACTACTTGTTGGGTAAAATTTTAAGCTTATTCCTTTAATATTGAACTATTTTTACCTTCTCTTTTTAGCCAGAGTTGGACCACTTTTTCCACACTGTAAGTTTTTAGTTTACCTAAAAAAAAAATGTGGTTGTTGGAAGTGTGCTATTGAAATGTGTAGCAATTTAAGTTTCACATTAATTTCACTTTGGTTATATTGTCACCTACACTACGATCAAAGTAGCAAACCAGGCACATTTGTAAACAAGTGACAAGGTTGACTGATATAAACAATAAACATTTGGGTACATATTAGCCAATAGATCAACATCAAGCTTATACTAAACTCAACACACTTCAGCTACATTTTGACCCTATATATAAAATTAGGTTGAACTACCTTATTATTAATCTCATAACAATGCATGTTACTGTTTTGTATTCACATTTTGTCAAATTGATACTCCTGAAAAATGTTTAGATGTTTGGAAATGAAATATTTGCTGTTAAATCTTCATATAGAAAATAAGGCATTTCAAATACATTTTCTCATTCTAAAAATATTTTTAAGATCTTGACTGAGATTTCAAACCGATACCTCTTTCTTCCCGTAAGACATCCTGTAAAATTTACTTCCTTGAATAAGCCTTTAGTAGCCCTAATATCACCTTACATGATGCAACAAAGTTTTACTTTAATAATACTCGACACGTGCCTGGAGATACCAACTACTTAAAAACTCTATAGAAATACAAACAAGATAACAAGGTGTAGAGCTGGATGAACACAGCAGGCCAAGCAGCATCATAGGAGCAGGAAGGCTGATGTTTCGGGCCTAGACATAGAAATACAAAACAGTTGTTTCTGCAGGCACTGTGGAAGCACAGGCAAAAGATACAGTCCAGCATTTTCCTAAAACTCTTGACATCACTTGGACTTAGTGGTTTGGTCCAGCCTGCAGCTGCTCTCCAGGAGAGAAACCACTTTTCAACATCAAGTGTACAAGCCCTTTCATTAAATGCACAGTGAGGATCAAAGTAACTAGATGAACATAGGTATATGTTCCGGCAGACATCATATCAGGTCAAAAAGTAATTACTGTTGGTTACACTACACCTATTCTAATCCAATAATTTGATGACAGAGCTGGAGTCTAGAGTAATCAGTTCCAAGAGGAGAATGAAACATAGACAGCAGGAGAGGAACAGGGCATGCATGAAATACATTCTGTCATTCAACATGATTATCTATCTCACCACCAGACTGTCTTCAATAAGCACAGACAGGCATAAGAACACAAGAACCAGGAGCAGGAGGAGATGGACATCTGGCCTTTCGCGCCCACTCCGCCATTCAATAAAATCATGGCTGATCTTTTCATTGCCTCAGCTCCACTTACCCGCCCTCTCACCATGACCCTTAATACCTTTATCATTCAAAAAATTATCTATCTTCCCTTTAAAAACATACTATGAGGAAGTCTCAATTACTTCACTGGGTAAGGAATTCCACAGATTCACAACCCTTTGGGTGAAGAAGTTCCTACTCAATTCAGCCCTAAATCTGCTCCCCCTAACTTTGAGGCTATGCCCTCTTGTTCTAGTTTCACATGCACAAAGACAACCAGGCCCTTCTGCATAGCAGCACACTGCAACATTTTAACTGTTCAAATAATAGTTCTTTTTACTGTTCTTCCCACCAAAATGGATGACTTCACATTTATCAACATTGTATCCCATCTGCCAGATCTTTGCCCACTCACTTAAACTATCTATATCCCTCTGCTTACTTGGCTCTACCACTCATTTCTGTGTCATCCACAAACTTTGACACACTACACATGGTCTCCGTCTCCAAACCGTCTGTGTAAATTGTAAATGATTGCAGTCCCAACACTGATCCTGAGGCATATCACTAGTCACTGACCAGCAACCCACTCTTTGCTTCTTGTTAGTTAATCAAACCTCTATCCACGTTAATACATTGCCCATAACACCGTGCACCTTTATCTTACACAGCAGCCTTTTGTGCAGCACCTTGTTGGATGCTTTTTGGAAATCTAGATACACACATCTACTGGGTCCCCATTGTCCACTGCACTCATAATGTGTTCAAAACAAAAAAAAGCAAAGATAATTCAGTAGAGTGTAGATTACCAACCCCTCTGTAAGGGGAAATAAGGCTACTTCATCAGAAACCTTCATGACTTTGAACACCTGGACTCCAAGGAGAACCTCATAACAAGTGAAGTTCCTGATCCCATTCTGTAAATACCCCCTGAACTCTCACTAAGGCCTTGTGACTTTTCTATGGGGTTGCACCCACAGGGGGTACACAATACTCCAGTTGAACGAAGTGGGGGTGGGGGGGGTGGGGATTGTAAAGGCTTTGGTGGGTGTCAGGCCTCTGCAGCAGCCAATTCTCATTTTGGGGGAAGAGGGGAATGGGGTTAGAATAGCTCTCACTTTTTTTGCACTGTGAATGGGAGGGGCCGAAGGAGGTTGGGAAGAGGGGAACAACTGATGGTATGGGGTGCGGGTTAGGGGGATGGGAAATTTCCAACATATCCAAGATGGCGGCCTGGTTACCGCTGCCGGGAAGAAGGTAGAGAAACCCCCACCCCCAGGAACATTCATACCCGCGCACCAGCAACAGGCAGCTTTTCCCCACCGCTAACCTGCCGAATTACATCTCAGTTCGCAGCCCCAAGTGACAAGCGAAGGATGTTTGTTTTCTCTCGGCCCACCCGAGACGCTACACAATCGGCAGCGACAGCACTCCTCTCCCTAGGAACCGGCACTGCCTGCGTGACGTGGTACGCATGCGTGCGAAGCAGAAGGGCGGGGAAACGAGGTGCCGACCTAACCTGTTGCCGGACGCCGTGATGATAGGCGGGACACTTTGACCAATGAAGAGTCGTACTTCTAGAGCCGGCCGTGACGTCGACCAATCGGTGCCCGTCGGGAGGTGGGACATCAGCTTCATAAAGTTAGGCTGACACCACAGAGGCTGTGCTCGTAGAGGCTGCTGGGTCAATGTGCTTTCCTATTTCCTCAGTAAAGTAGCTCCTGTGCTGGCAACTGCTTGACAATTGATTGCAACCCGCTTCGACTTTCGCAGCTCTGTTTGTGCAGTATCAGAACTCTTTCTTTTCGGTGAAATGGAATTTCTCAGCATGTGTGGTTTAATTCTGATCCTGTGCCCTTGCTGTGAACTCCTGAACCCAATCCACAGTGAACCCTGAACTCAGTGTAATGTTGTGCTGGCACTTCGCGGAATGACGTGGCACCCACTTTGCAAGAATGTTGTGCTTCTGTCATTGTTGTGATGCACTTTTGTCGATGTTTAACTAATGCCTGAAACAGTAGACCAACAGTTTGCAAATATCATCGGCAGTGCTCACGTTTGCCATGCGCAATAGGGTGTGACAGGCATTATGACAATCTCTATTCATAAGTTTATTATAGCTTCCCGGGACAAATTCTGACTTGCAAAGGTTGGGATAGGCAGTTGAGCAAATTTGATGGGAATAAGTCAAACTGGTTTGGTTGCTGAGATTTCACAGGTTTTGATTCATAGTCAAAATTGATTCATTTTATAGAGGGAAAACAACCAACATTTAGTGTTTTTATTTAAAAATCAACACACCTCTAGAGTGAGTGGGACACGTGACTCAGAGGTAAGGACACTACTGATGTGCCACAAGAGTCCCTACCAGCATTTCATGACATGGCATATACAGAAAACTGTAGACTTTGACCCAGTCCTTCGTACCTTTATTGTAAATGTGCGGCAGACATCATTGACTGTGGAGCTGCCTGTACTCCCAGGGAGTTCTCTTGCCCCTGAGGTGAAATTTTCAAACGTCACAACTCCGAATTTATGAAATTTGCAATATCAGATGAACATCTTAAATAGGCAGCTGCCTAAAATCACTTTTTGCAGTCAGACGTATGTCTGAAATTCCGGCGGATGAATGAGCAGATTTGTCAAGCAGTTCATAATGCGGAAGAAAGTTAACTCTGCAATCCAAAAAAAGCCTTGTCCTCCTCACCTCCATCCCCCTCCCCCGCCCCCCACCCCATCCCCCCGGATTGTCGGTCGTGAATTTGTTAAGTGTCAGCCTTTCATGGCTTCGTGCACAGGCGGAAATTGAATCCAATCTCCCTCAACCCTTCTGAATGAATCTGAGGGGTTGGGACTTATAGTCTACCCGAGTGGGCTGGACCTCTCCGCTCTCACACAGTGGTCGCGTCGTTTCGTGGCTGCCGATGATATTGGCATAAAATCAATCCTTGCAGCATAGCTTGGCTTTCACCGAGACTCTTGGTGCAACTGCAAGGACCTGGTCGCGTGTTTTCGAAGGGGCTCTTAATTCTGACAGGTAAAGCAACCACTAATCTTCGGTAAACTTATCCTATCCCCGGATTTATTCATTTAAGGAGGGATTTGTTGTAAGCGATTGCTGGTATCGACTTGTTCCCATCGATAAATGCTTGAGTTTCTGCCCCTTTTTTGTGCTTTGAATTACCGCTTGCATTTTGGGCGGCCCAGATGTCGGGTCGGTCCTTATGTATTCTCAATAATTCATATCCGTATTCTTATAGAATATATATACAACTGAATGGATTATTGCTTCAAACAGGAGATCTCCCAGAATTGAATCTATGATGTATGGCTCAGCTTTACCGTGAGTTACATGTTTTTTAGGCAGCGTTTTGGACCTGTGCACATCGTTTAACAATGCTTCACTTCAGTGTTTGGGATTGTTGCTGAACTTTCCTAACGTTTGACCCTGTTAGCATGATCCAAAAGCACGACATTGCCTGTGATTTATTCTCTTTAAAGACAGAATGACCTATTACCTTATGTCCAGGGCTCGCTATCGAAGGCCTGTTAACAGGATATTTTGAGAATGATTAATGATCCACAGTTTACAGCCGTTTCTCCATTTAGACCGAAAGCGAATTTTATTTCTCTTGGCTAATGTGTCAGAGAAAATTGGAAATACTCCGACACGGATTGTTCTCATTTCGCTGAATGCTAAATTCCTCTTTTTAACTACCTAATGGTGTCAGCGGTCGGCTTCTCTTTTCAACTCCGATACCTTTGGAGAGAGAAAAAACAATTTGACAGCGGGAAGGAAACTCCGTAACAATTACTCGGCCGCATAACCCGAAACAGGTTTCAAACGGCAACTGTCAATTTCAACAATTTTGTGGATGAAGGGGGCATTGAAAGAGATGGGTGTACTTGAGAGTTGTTTCCAGACATAAGGTCTGAATAAAACACGTCAGGCAGAGATCGCAGCCCCAAAGATGTTTACCATAAATGTGAGATTTGTAAAAGCACATCTCAAATACATGTCAACAGTGGATTCCATTGCAGGGTATTTTTTGTTGGTGAGATCTAACGATTTAATATGAAGGCACAAATAAGGATTTTATTTCCCTGCCTGGCAAGAATATGACAGAATTGTTTTCTGCAGAAATAACATTCTCATGAAATTATGTCACCCTTTTTGCTTAGCAGGCAGCTGCGAATGCAACATTGTGCATTCTTCCACAGAGCACGCGTTGAGAACCGTCAGAGCCACCATTTGACAAGGAATTGAATGTTGTTCAGATTATTACTTCTCTGACATTAATCGAGTGAAATATTTAAAATAAAAAAACTGACATGAAAAAGGTACTGAAAATACCCTAACCAACTCTTCAACTTTTATTTAAACATAAAGAGATTTTGAAATCAAAGGCAGTTTGAAAATATTGTTTCTAAAAAAGCTTATAGTTTTTTTTGTCCTTCCTAAAATTATTCCGAGTTTACCAGTGTAAGTTGTAGCAGTCGTTTTATTAGGGTTGCTGCCGAAAACACTGGGCTTAGTTGAACACACCAAAGGGTTAGGGGCAGATCGTTTGAAAAGCGGTTTTGTGCCTGGCGCTTGTTTTCAATCCAGGTAGGCCCTGGGAACGAACTGCTTGCTGTTTCATCGGACAATGTAGATGGAGACATTCCGCTGGCTGTGTTTGGCTGGGCTAGGAACAAAAGGAATCTTTCACAATTGTGTCGAGGGGGTCCGAGTGGAAAATTGATGGCTGGCAGGTGCGCCTAAGCCACGGGAGACTCTGTTTAAGATCCACAAGCTTACAGTACGTTCCTGCAAGAGGCAACGAGCAAGTTGGAGAAAACACTCGAGACCACAAACGGCATCGCAAGAAGGAGGGAATTATCTCCATCCATACACAGAGGAATAGTCACTCGCACCCAGTAACTGTGAGCCTGGCACGGAAATATAAGGAGTTTTTCAGTTAATAGTGACGCCGTCTTTACTAGCGATGACTGGTGAGTGTCTCCACATAGCTCCGAGTGCGCACGCTATGAGATTCGAAACAGATTGAGGCGAGTTTAGATAAGTTTGCAGCGAAAGCAGTTCACACTGAATAGCTAAATCAATGGCACGTGTCACTTTATGTTTTAATGGAAATATTAATTGCATCTCGAAGTAAATTTCTGCAGAAATGAACCCGATTGAATATCAAACTCCAATTGCCATGCTAATATTAGAACAAATTCACCGCCGATTACGTTTAACCCCGCGAGGAAACTCAGCGAAATGTATCATCGGTGTGTACTCGTTTGAGAGATTATAAAAGTATGACTTAAAAAACAGCAAGTGCTGGACATACAAAAATGTAATATTCTTCTGAAGCGATAACTGTATCTGTCTCCACAGAGGCTGTTAGACCCGCCGAATATAGCCAGTACCTTCGTTTTCGCCTCAGACTCCCAACGTAATGTGCTTTTAAGGTAGAAGTCTGAATTATTTCTGCAACTACTTTTACACAATCTGCCCCTTTTAAAAAATTATAAATACACTGCCTCCGTTAAAGAAGCCTCCATGAAAAGGGAGCGTGTCTCTATGTGTGTGTTAGCGGCAGTTAGTCCCTTGAGTAAAACAAACCAAACGATTAAAACTGGTGATTTTTCCGTTAAAAAAAAAACAGCCTGCAAGTGGAGAAATAATACTTTGGAAAATTTGCATTTTAAAAAGATAATCGGCGCGTGCAAACTAGACAAAGAGATCTCTTTATGTTGTTCACTCCGTGAAGCATTACAAGACGCGAATTGGAGAGGAATTGCAGCGGGTTTTGACTCTAATGTTCATTATGAAATTCACACGGGCGTAATTTCCTTTCCAAAGGACTTATCCCGAGCTCATTATCACAGGTTGGTCGAACGCGGGAGAGCAGCGAAGATAATTAATTTGAACATTGCCAGAACAATCATCGGAATCTGCTGAAAATCGGAATAAAACCCGGGTACTGTGCGTGTTTATTTGCTCTAGTGCGTATGCACTCGCTGCACAATGTCCCAAAATACGCGTTTCTGGTCAGTGAACTCACTCTGGATAACTTCAGTAGGGAAAAGGAAAAATTAAATAAACTGTAGAAAATAAGGACAGGGCGAATGGTAAACGGGGAGAAGATGTTCATTCAGCGAACATCTCTATTCCTTGTGCTAAATCAGTTGAAGATTTTGAAATTCTTTCAATGACACATATGCAAAATTACCTGCCGGTGCTGTTACGTTTGGTCCCTGTACCTATTATTGTCCAACATACCATGGGGGCCATTGTCGTGTTGGTTTCGATCCTCCCACCCCCAACCACCCTCACTCCCCCAATACATTGAATTAACTCCACAACGACTTAGAACACGAATAAGCTCCGTCTCGGCTCAATATTGAATATTAATGCGTCCAAACAGATTGGATAATAAATGTGACTTGGAATTAAATGAAGTTGTTTCTGATCTGCATGACCCCCCAACCTGAGACAGGCAGCTC